CCCCAAAACCCCAAAACCCCAAAACCCCAAAACCCCTATATAATCCCTCTTAACTGATGACTGATAATTAATTAAAAAGAATAATGTTTTCAAAAGCATCACTACATTTCTTGAAAAGAACAGCAAGAAGATTTTCAAAACTCGTTTCAGTCAATGGCAAGAAGTACAAGGTTCCTTCGAACTTCAAGGAGCCTGCCTACGACATGAATCATATCCAGAACGACTCCAAAGTCCTTCTGCTTAGGCATGGGAACACCCTCTTCAACTTGACTTATGAGTAAGCGTTCACAAGGAATGTTAATAAGATTTTATAGTAAAATATTTCACGATAAAGGTTACGGCCAAGAAATTCTAGACTTTTGGCATGACGACAACTACAGAGACAGTCCTCTCTCTGAGTTTGGTATTGAGCAATGCAAGTATGCATCACAGTTTGCTGATAAGCTCGATATCGACATGGTCTTGATAAGTCCTCTCAGAAGAACTCTTCAAACTGCCCATTATGTTTTAAGGAATCATCCTCAAAAGGAAGAAATAAAATATGTCATCCATCCAGGAATCAGAGAGCATGTCTATGGATATTGCGAAATGACACGGAATTGGGAAAAGAAGTATAATGAGGAGTACAAGCATATGTTCCCTAACCTGGATGCCAGCCTTATGATGAAGGAAGATGGACATTATGATGAACTCTTCTATTCCAAGAACTTCCAACCGGAAGTGAGTGAAAAATTCTCAGGCATGTCGAAAAAGACAATCGACCACATAATCATGGAGGCAGCAAGGGACAACTTCCCAAGGGCTGCTGAAAGTTATGAATCAACATGTGACAGGACTCTAGGGGTACGTTGTTACTTTATAAATGTTTAGGTTAAGGAATATGTAAGAAACTACCTTAAAAACAGGAATCCAGAAAATGATCACAAGAAAATACTCCTAGTCACACACTGTGTGACCCTCAGAGTTTGGATGGGAGACTGGAGTGGCATGTCAAAACCATACCAAGATTTCCCAAAAAATTCATATTGGGTTTCCAACTGCGAGTTCTTCCCTGATACTCAATACAATTATTCAAGCTCCCTTTAAATCTCACCTAATAATTCACCTAACTATTTCCCCCTAAAGAATAATTTCAACCAAATAACCCCACTAAGGGGTTTTGGGGTTTTGGGGTTTTGGGGTTTTGGGG